TTTTTTTTTTCATTTGAAACCTATAATACATCCAATAAATAATACATAAAAATTATATAAAAAAATTATCCTTTATATAATTGCCTGACCAAAAACTACCTCACTTTCTCTTATATCATCTTATCCATTTCAAAAGTTAAAATTAAGATTTATGATTTAAAATTTAAAATTTTTAATTATTTGAGATATTTATGAAAAAAATAAAATTTACCCAATAAAATTACAAAGCTAAGAATATGCGTATATTATATTATTATCGACTGCACAAATCTTTCATAATTTGATTTATATATAAAAGAAGATATTTCAAAATTTAAACAATTTAAAGGGAGACTATTCCGATTAGACTATGAGTTTTTGCCACTCAACAAAATAAAATAAAATAAAATAAAATGAGGTTTTTGTATATCATTATCGTTTTAAAGTGACAATGAACTCCATAAACACAAAAATTGTTCACCCACCTCTGCAAACGCCAATTTACTGTTTCTCGCCACATATAACCCCAACAGGCACCTAAGTTCTCCTCTCTCATTCAGTTCTCTCATACCTAAACAGAAAGGGCGCCATGGCGGGACCGCTAAGGCCTCAATTCGTTCTCTTTGGATCCTCCATTGTCCAGCTTAGCTTCGGCAATGGCGGTTGGGGTGCCACCCTCGCTGACATCTATGCTCGCAAGGTTTCTCCCTTCCCTTCCCTTCCCCTCTCTCTATTCCTTGTTTCTCCTTTTATTTGTTTGGATAATTTAGGTATGATCCGATCATGTCTTTAGCGAGCTTGATTTTGTCCAAAATTTGTATGAAGTTGTGTCTTGTTAATGTTTCTTAGGATGAGAGTTTCTTACTGTAACGTGTTTTTGGATGATTTATTTAAGTGGATTGACTTGAATCAAGTAATGGAAAATTTGTAAGTTTTCTTCTATGGCTTCTAAAATGAAAGATGATTAGTTTGGTTGTAGTTGAAGCCTTGGGACCAGAGGATCTTCTTGAAATTACTTGCTTGGCTTTCTTTTTGCAATTAGCTATGATTTTGGATGGAAATCAAAAGGACGTGCTAAAAGCCTAAAAGTAATGTACTCGAAGCTTCTTTTGGAAATGTTTCTTTGGGCTTTAGCTTTTGGCTTTTAGAGCATGTTTGGTGATTGTAAGAGCTTCAATATTTTTGATGCTATTCATGTTTTATAAGTTAAAAATTTTCTCTTAAAAACTTATATTTTTTAACTTATTTTTAACTTAAAAAGACCTTAAACAATAAATTTTAAAAAGTTTCAAATTTGTGTTTTTAATAAATTTTTTTAACTCACTTCTTACTCATTTTTTTCTATTTTTAAAAGTAAATTTTAAATTTTCTCTCTAATAAAAATTTAAATTTATCAATCATAAACAATACAAAAGAAGTAAAATATTAATTAAAATGAATATTAAATATATTTCATATATTTTTTGGATGTTAAAAGACTAAAAAGCCTACAACCACAGCTACAGCTAAAGCCCAGCACTTCCAAAACCAAGCCTTAATTTAGTTCCTTAAGCTTTTTGGGGTGTGTGATGAAAACAGATGGTAGCAAATAGTGCAACCTCGTCTGATGTTGCTATCATGATCATACAAGATCTCTTACAAAAGAGCTATTATATTTTTTGTTGGAAAGAAATGGCCTTTAGTTAGAATGGAGTGAATGAGGAATATATAACCTTTCCAAAGTTTTGTTTGGGCTAATCTTACAGAGGAAGAGGTTCATGAATATCAGAATTGTCTTTCATTTGCTATAGCTCTGACATTCTGCATTGTTGTACAATTTACGACATTCTAATTTACTTCTTTGTTTTTATGAACCATTTTAGGCTGACATATTTTTGCGGGGATATTATGGATGGAATTCACGACGGGCTGTTGAGGTCCTTGATAAAGTTTTCCCAAAGGTTTAACTTCTTCCACTGCAATATTATTCTCCATCAAAACTTGATTCACATCAATATGGTTGAGGCTAGTAAAAATTTCTCAAAGTTAGTTGATTTGTAAGGTCTTTTAAGCAGTATATTTTATAAGATTGTGTTGGATCAAAGGGAATGCATACCATAGAATCATACACAATAATTACCTTATTTCTGTTAAGGAAACGAATTCTAGCTGCTATACTGCTTCAGTGAATCTATGTCTGCATCTTTATACTATGGTCGCATTGTTGCATTTCTTTGTGCCTCTTTAAGTATTACTGGATTTTACACTAAAAGAAGTTTGGAAAGTTTTTACTTGTGTGTATCAGTTTGTGAATATCTGTGTCATTATGCAAGCACTGGTTTGTCTAATTGCATTTTTATATATTCAAGTTCTGATTGGTGCTTTAAAACTGACATTTTAGGTTTCTTGTTTATTTACTACAGGATGCTGCTATACACCCCTCTCTGGTAATAGTTTATTTTGGTGGTAATGATTCAATGGGACCTCACCCATCTGGCCTTGGCCCTCATGTTCCACTAAACGAATATGTAGAGAATATGAGAAAAATAGCAACTCATCTGAAGGTACATTCTCAACATACTTGTGATACAGCTGTGTTGGTATTTACCTCTTTAGGTTGATGCACCAATGTAGAGTTTGAGGGTGATGGATTACTAAAGGGCTTGTATTGTATCCATGTTAAAGTGGAGTCATAGAATTCACATAAACAGCATTCTCAACTGCTGGAACAGTTCCATGGGAGAGACAAATATGGACTGACTCATTCTAGAAACAATAACTTGAGTATTCATTCCTCTGCAGTCTTAAACTTACCTTTTCGTTTGTATTTTGCGGTGTTTTCATTTTTTATTTTGCACGAGGGTATATGCTGGATGGGTGGAGGATTTCTGAAAGGGGAAGACAGGAAAATGGTTTTAAATGGATTTGATTCAATTGGGCATTTTTGTATTTAAGAGTAATCAGATACTGGTGCTAATTCTGACAAATATAATTTGAAATCAGAGCCTTTCGGATTCAACACGCATAATTTTTCTTAGCTGTCCTCCTGTTGATGAGGCCAGGGTTCGTCAAAACACAAGGTGCTTTAATACTTTTCTTTTTTTCCCTATGGCCTATCTTGCTTATTTCTATTTCCAAAATGCCAATCTAAGATATTTCCCTCTGGTAAACCAGTGGAGTCTTTAGCCACCTGGTACGAACAAATGAATTATGCAGAATGTATTCAGATGCTTGTATACAGCTGTGTCAGGAGATGGATATCAAGGTGGTTGATCTTTTTACTGCTTTTCAGAATAGAGATGACTGGATTACTGCTTGTTTTACGTAAGTTTGCTTCACCATATTTTTTCATGTATAATTTTTTTCTGCTGCTCCTTATTCCCCGTGTGCTACTTTGATATTTTTAGTTTTATTTGAGTATGAGATGGAAGATTTGCTACCTTTTTGTTTCTCTTTTTCAGTTTGCAAACAGAGCTGTTACCATATCCACTCTTGTTAAGTTTGGAGTTTAATCTCCCAAAACTTTTGCTTCATTTTAAATAAGATACAATGACAACATATCAGCCGAAGAAGAGTAACTTGACAAAAGTTTCTGTTTGCAATGACTGGTTACTTATCAAAATTTTTACTTCTTCTTTATCCAGAGATGGGGTTCATTTATCTTCTGAAGGGAGCAAAATAGTTGTAGCCGAGATATTGAAAGTAATAAAAGAAGCTGAGTGGCAGCCATCTTTACACTGGAAGTCCTTGCCAACTGAATTTTCAGAGGACTCTCCTTACGATCTAGTTGCTGCTGATGGTAAAACCACTTTAAATGCCTCCGAGTGGACATTTCACTGGGAGATTCAATGGGATTAGATTAAGGAAATTCTTTACTTTTGTGTATTTCAAAACAAGAAACAAAAAACTAAAGATTGACCATCCCTTCAAACAAAATTTGGGTAAAGGAATGAACTTGGAGTTACCATCTTAATGTAACTGCTTCTTAAGTATTCATGCCTATGTTTGTTTGCAATATTTTGTTGTCTGTGTTCAATAAGCATGCAGAAGTTGCACCTGCAGCGTCAGCCACACTGGCCAATGTGTGTGTTGGCCCTCCTGCAGGTGCAGCCATGTTGTATTATCTCCTTCAAGATTTCCCCTGCTCAAGAAAGGCAATAGTTGAATTTTAAACTCCAATTTTTCCACTTTGTTCCATACAAAATGCATTAAGATGGTATTATTTAATTTATTTTGGATTAAGACAACTTTGACATGGTTCTATGTAATATTTAATGAGTTATTTGTTTTACAATTTAGATTATACATGATGATTGAATGAAGGAGGTCTCATTTACTGAGGGTCTTTCCCTTATGCTGTGAAATCCAAAGTGCATTAGCATTACAGTTTTTTTAGTATTTAATAAAACAGAGAAGCCCAATGAAACATGAGCCCAGTAGACAGTTGAGGTCCATTAGCCCATTGGACAAATCACCGAAGGCCTGCTTCTGCCAAGCCCCAAGGAATGTCCATCTCTCCGTCCAAATATTTTAAACTTTCCCTCC